GGGGGGGGGGGGGGTCGGGATATCGGTGAGTCAACAAACAGATTAAAGAGGTATGCTAATATGCAGTAAGGTGGGTGTGGGCGCGCGCGACGCGATAACGTGGATCGATTCGCAGCTGTGGAAGAAGTACGAGCTGGATCGGGCGGTGTTGAAAGAGAGAAGTGAGCGAGAGAGAGAGAGAGAGAGAGAGAAAGAAAGAGAGAAAAAGAAACCAAGGGGGTCGATGGCGAGAAAGGAAGGAGGAGGAGAGAGCACACACATGTTACATCTATAGACACACGATTGGGATACACAGGATCAGGCAAGCTGGAAAGAGAGTTTCCAAGCACATCAAACTTGATCGGGACTGGATTAACCGATGAAAAAACACGTAGACCCACGACGGGTGGCTAAAGACACTCCCAATGAAAGAGAATTGCAGAACCGAATCAAATTCAACCGTACAAACTCTTCGACTTTGATTATTCCGAGACAAATGAGCTCTCGAGACCCGTGATTGGTTGGTATGCCAATCGCAATGGAATCCGCACAGATTTCGCGTGTATAATTGAACATTTCAATTGAACATTTCTTTAACGTTGTGAAACAATTTCTTCCACGCTGAATTCCGTTACAATTAACGCAGAATCACCGTTGCGAGGTCTGCCTGCGGAAACGTGGCAGATAACTTTTCGACTTTGCAGCGCGACGAGAAAACTGACAAAAGTGTCGAGTGTATTCTTAGATTTTTTAAGAGCTACACGGGAGACCGATCGATGATAATCCAGTCTTGATCTTGCCTCTCTCTCTCCCTCTCTCTCTCTCTCTCTCTCTCTCGTTCTCTCCTTGACCTTTCGTCACTGGAGTATAATACAAGGAGGCAATAAAAGGAGAGGATTTGCTCTCCTCTCGCGAAAGTAATTTCCAAACACAGCACGATCAATGCCGAAATGGCGCAGCCCGGGACGGGCAGCGGTGTGAAAGAGAGAGAGAGCACTGATAAATAAATCCGCTCCTTTTATCGGCGCGTTCGGCTGTTGTAGCTGGTGGCAAATTAGGAGCGCTAATTATAAGGGATGTAAGGGACTCTTTCGTTGAATTTACATTGATACGCTCCCCCGCGATGAATTCACTATTCATCGCGCGACACTCGCGCGTTGATCGTTATGAGCGCGAGTGCCATGAGGGGGAGCGCGAATGAAGAGTCACGACACACAAGCCGTATCCACGTGTGTGTGTATATATATATATATATATATATATATATATAAACAATGTGTATATATATATGTATGTATATATATATATATATAATAGTATAAACAGACACAGATAAGTGACACTGCATACATCGAGCTTCGCACGTGGCATATCTTTCGTAACACACACAGTACAATATTTACTCGACAATAGATATGTATATATATACATATATGTGTGTATATGTAAACGAACGAGTTAAGTAGTCCGTGGAGATGGAGTTACATCCTCTCACTACGTTAGCGGTAGTGGATCAAGCGAGCAGTCAACGCGACGGTCGCGGGTGGATAGGAGGAGCGGGTTGAGTCCGTTGCAGAGAGAGTGTTCGACGTAGATGTTGAAATGGGGATAAAGAAACGGGTATGTATCACACGGCGATGACGGTCGAGACGGAGAAAACACGGAGGGAATGAATTTCTCAAAAGACTCTAGGATGACCTGGTGTGACAGTTAAAGAAAAAAAAGAAATGCTATTTCTTTCTCGTCGAGAAGACTCTCGAGTCAGTGCTTCTGTTTGTCGCACTGTTGCTCGCCCAGAGGCCGGAATCCCTGTCCGTGGACACGTACGTCACATGAACACGTACAAAAAGGATAATGATTACGTAGGAGAGAGAGTTAATTAGTCGCACACGAGCACTGACGGAGGGGAATCGGCAGCGTCAGATAAATGCCCGCTCGAGTCGAGCCGCCGGTGAGTTTAAAGGGATCAACTTTCGAAATTACGCAAACGAACAATAAAGAGTTTCGAACTCCCTGAGGATTCTCGAGAAGTCGAAGAAGTGACTCGAGGTGCCAAAGAGCGTACGCGCGACGAGCGTTTGCGCAAGATTCTCTCGGATTTTCTGCAAATTTTCTCTCGAAACGTCCGAGGGTATCTCCACGACGGAAAAACCGGCATGTGCGCGAGTATCTGAACGCGATCACGTGGCAGAATTTATTTGACGCTGCTCAAGGGACATCCTACGAATACGCGTATGATAAATTATGCGCTGACGTGGTCACGGCGCGAGAAGAAAAATCGTAATATACGGAATCGCGCGTCGAATGAATACACACGCAGGGCCGCGTTCATACCTCGCCTTCCGCTCTCTTCTTCTCGAGCTCCTTCTGCTTAGCATGTTCCTCGGCGATGCGAGCCTCGATCGCTGCCAGGGACTCCCGCGTGAACGGACGGAACAAACTTCTTTCTTCCTCTGATATAGAGTCAGAATCTTCGGACATTGTCTAGGCTGCGCACAGCTGAGCCACCTTCCTGCGGGTGGGAAAGTCGTTATCAGTGGAAACTGTCTAACATTAGCAAACAATGGTCACTATTGAGCACAGATAAGCGAAGAACGGGACAAATGAAAGGATCTGCGATATACGTGTATCTTCAAGACGTCTCAGAGACGTCTTTTAGAAGTGTTTCGTCTCCAAAACGTCTTTGAAGCCCGCATTAATGGCCGTTAACTTGAAACTTTTCTCGAATGAGGCACTCAGATGTGAATCAAGACCCGTATTAATAATCGTTGCAAGAAACTTGTCCCAAGTGAGAAATTCGGATCTAAATTTAGGCCGGTATTCATAGTCAGATTTCATATTATCAAATATCAGATGCTTCGTGGCCAATGGGATGAGTCGTGCAGCATCTGAAGATGAACTTAAGACGATCTTAAATTTAAGGTGGTACTATGAACATCGATCTTAGAGTTAGATTTGAATGTTTTATTTAAATCATCAAATAACGACCGTTATACGGATCACTGATGTGAGTTCTTCGATCGAATCACGGTTACAAATACCACATGTATAATTCAAATGGGAGATTCCGATCCAACTTTAAATTCCTACTCGAGTATATGACGTAAACAAGTCTGAAGTAACTATTAATACGGATCTACGCCATCTTATCGCGTCTTCGTGTTCTCGGGGGAAGACGCGAGTGACGGTATCAATGATGCGACCCAAATCGATACGTCGCGTTCGAAACCGAAATCGTGACACACACGCCTCATGAATCGACTTCCGAGGGGAACTTTCGGATTCATCGGGATGCGCAAAGTCCGATCGAAGGGGTTCGAGGGCGAAGCGTGCATGATCAACGGGGTTTGCTTTCGAGAGCTCGAGGGGGTAACACACACACTCTCTCTCTCTCTCTCTCTCTCTCCACTCACTTTTGATCGGTGCTAACAGTTCCCGAGGTGTGGTGTGCGTGTGTCCCACGATGCGGGAGGGTAGTAGAGTGGCTGCTGCGGCTGACGGGGACGAGTCCGGTGCTGAGAGCGGCGCGACTTGCCGGCTACCGGCCGGTTCCTGGGCGTCGATTCTGGGCGCGTCGTGCCGACGATCCGGTCACACGACGCCGTAACGTACGGTCGGACGGAAAAGAGCGCTCCGTGCAGCACGTCGAGTGCCGATCTGCCGCTGCTGCTCTGACTCTCCCTCGTTTTCTTGTCGATCGCCGTCACGCGGATACTACTGCTGCTGATGCCGTTGCTGCCGCTGGTGCTAACGCTACTTCTAACTTTGCTCCGGTTGCGAACGCTCCTCTTGTTGTTGCTGCTGCTGCTACCTGAATCTCGTTCCAACGAAATGGCGACGAGAAATGACGAACGCGCTGCGGCAGTGCGTGCTATGTCGGGGACCGTCCAACGCGAACCAAGATTTTTCATGTCCGACCTAAGAGGTCACAGAGAGAGCAAGCGTTGCGCGATAAGGCCGGCGATGATAACGCGCAATTCCGACGTGTTAAGTTCCCGTGGTCGACAACAATAACAAAATCGTCGCGCTAAGACGTCACGTCTCGCGAAGTCGCTTTTCTCCTTCGGACGTAGCTTCTTTCCTCTCTCTCTCTCTCTCTCTTTCGCTTTTTTTCCGCGCAAATTTCAAGCCAGGTGGTCGGGCGAGGACAGTGTCAAGTACGCGACTTCTAATTATAGCGATATGAGCAACGATTCCCGGAATATTGTGACATCCCGCAAAAGTCATTAGACCCCGGTGCGCCCGGCTACGTCGTCAGAGTAAACGACGGGGAGCGAGCCACTCCAGCAAATGAGCCGTCCTAAACAAAGAGTCCATTAACGCGCATATACTCACGTGTGAATGAAGCGACGGGTGCGATCAATCCGTTATCCGAAATAACATAGTCTGGTCTTCGAGTCTCGGTCGATTTTTATCTGCAACAAGAGGACAGAAGGGAAGCGCGGATGAATGCTGAGTCGACTACCGCGTACTACGATCAGTCTCTGCTCGCGGCATCGCGCATTGACGCAACGCATATTCAGCGAACCCGGTTGATTTACCGCGAAAAATTTTCCCGGCGCTTTCTCGCGATTTAAAGGAGACTGCCAGTAATGTTTAATATTTATTCAATGCGCCGGGAGATAAATTGTCTCTTCTTTTCTTTTCGCGGAACTGATGAACTCGTATCTCCTCTAAACATTCTCTCGTGTTTCTCTGGTGCGAGAGCGTCGCAGTTTCCTCGAAAAACCAATTTCCCAGCCGAGCGAAAGAGAGAAGAAAAAACGGGAAAAGAAAGAGAGAGAGAGAGAGAGAGAGAGACTTCGAGCGACTTTTGACGAAGCGAGACCGTTTCCGCGATCGATGCGAGTCGCCGCAAAAACGCTACACTGAGAATAAACGAGCGTGTGGCTGCGCGCGTCGTCTCCTCCTCCTCGGCAGGGAAGCTCGGCGCGCTCGGTTTCCCCGCGTTCGGGAAAATTTCACGCAAATCGGCATGCGGTACAGGTGGACTCGCGGAAAGGTGTCGGTGGTCTTTGACCGAGTTTCGCGCGGTCGATCATATTCCGCCGAAACTCGGTCACACGCGCTTATGCATCGGGCGGCGGCGCGGCGCCGAGCGCGCGCCTGGCGATACGCAGCGTAGGAAAAGTAAGAGTGAAGGGCTGGCTGGCTGTTCGAGCCAGTGGAACGAGCACAGCAGGGTCGGCCGCGATGCCGATCGGCTATCCCGCACGAGAGCATTTTACTCCACTTATACACTCGTGTGTCTACGGACATTTATAGTATGAGTCGGCTATTTTTCTTTTCTATCGACTCTCTCTCTCTCTCTCTCTCTGTCTCGAGCTCGCATTCGCTGAGACGAGAAGAATTGCGGGATTTCGTGGGTACACTTCGAACTCCGAAATCGGTTTTCGCAAAGTTCGGCATTCGGCTCGCGATTATTTTGCCCTTATCTCCTCGATCGGCAGCATCTTCGCTCGCGATCTTGATCCAATTTATTTCGTAAAATCGAACGGATCCGAGGGACGGAATTTTGCAGCTCGAGAAAAGGGGCGTGGTTTTAACTTGATTGTTAATCCAATTACGCCCGGCGCACTAATTGCAAAAGTGGGCATGAATCAAAGGAGGGTTTTTACGCGTCTCGCTAAATTAACTACACATTCGCTCTGTAGACGATAGCGTGTCTCTACATAGGATGATTTGCAGAAGTGGGACAGGCCTTGTTTCTAGTTAAGACGAAAAAACGGGAGAAAGAGAGAGAGAGAGAACATTGCGAAGTAAAGAGTTGGACGGCACGATTTTTATTCCAGTATTCTTGGGAACTAATTTCCTCTTCAAGCGTCGATACGCAGTAGCAAAGGCAATTCCTTTAATGACGGTATACATCGCGTTTTATTATTCAGCGGCACCGTTGTTTTTTTTCTCTATTTACAAAGGTAGCGAGATAGCGGGAGATACGCGAGTAATCGATGAATTACGACAACCCCGGCGGGGGTGGTCGACGCGCAAATTGCGTGTTTGAGATCGTTTAATGCGTATTTTTTCGTCACGTGGCTGCTTTGGATCTACCAGTGCAAAATGTTGCGCAGTTTTGCTCGAGCCCCTTGTGTAATACCGTTCTCTTTGTCGCCGTCCTTCTCGGTGTAGAATTTCTACAATTATTCGGGATACGAGGATTGCAACGCGAGCGATCGAGAGGAGATCTCTCGATTAATGTTACCCCCGAGCGACGTGACTTATGGCCTTTCGCCCGTGCGGCCGGGATACACCGCGAGAAAAAGCTCGTAATTAATCGTAAAGAACCGTTACAGGAAACCGTGCGAAATAATTTGCCGATTTTCCCGGATATCGCGTCAAACCCGCTTTGCGACTCATGTTTCATCGGTGGATACAGAAATACAAGAATAAAAAACGGCACTTTGCCAACGCGCGAATCAAGAGGAAACGAGGTCAACTATATCTGCGACAAACCGGCCTTCGTCGAGAAATTACACCCCGTAACGAAGGAAACGCGCAACACCGACATCGATACTCGAGAAATCTACCGCCTCGCGCCAGGCCGAACGTCGAAGAAGCTGCACCGAACTCTGTCCTCATCAATACTTGACTGTACTAGATACTCGTCAATCTTCTTTTTTCAAGCAATGCACGCCGTGGAAGACTAGAGGAGACGCATTATTCTCGAACTTTAATTCCGGGAGTCCGCTCCCTCTTCCCCTAAATAACGCGTACGAGGTAGTAAACTGACTGCGAGAGTTCACTGAGAGAAAGAGGGAGAGAAAGTCAGTAGACTCTCTCGTCGTCGGGAAGGATGCGACGCACCGGGTTCTGCGATAAATCGGCGTGCTACCATCGATTGCGGCGCTTTCCCCGGCACGGTCGCACGAAGACGTCGCTGGCGGACGAGCGTGAATCATAGTCACACGGCCTGGTATTCTGCGTAATCGCATCGCCATCTTCATGGACCCTACACGGTGGCGCCATCGGAAACCACCCCTACCCTGGCGAAGAAAAACCCTTCCACCCCGTTGGCAGGGTGGCTGGTGGGGCGACGCCGACGCCGACGTCGCGTGACGTCACGAACCAGGCCGGGTACGTTGCGGAAAAACGTTGTCATGACGACGACCGCTGACGCTACCGTCGTCGCCACCGCACCGAGGCTTCGCCGCCGCCGCCGCCACCAATGCCAGGATGGAATCGGAAAAATTCCGATGGGAAACCAGGGGGAAGGAGAGAAAGAGAAGGAGGAAGAGAGAAAGAGAGGGAAAGATGAAAACGGGAAAACGGATTGCGAAGGGCGTGGGGCGAACGTGGCGCGCCGCGTTACGCAACGACGTCGGGTCGGCATGGGAAATAAGGCAGGGCCCGGGGGGAATAATCGAACGTGGGTAGATCGAGCGAGGCTCGCAGGACAGGCAAGTCCATTCGCTTCCTGAAATACGATATCTGCGTGGTATCAATCGCTACGCGTCGAAAAATTCCCCGGCCGAAGGTTGTCGATAGAAAGATAGAGAAGGCGAGAGAGAGAGAGAGAGGGAGGAAGGAAGGGAGCGCATGAGTCTTTCACGCTCCCAATTTATCCGCGTGGGATCGTCGGAGGACGTCGTTCGGGGGGATATGATCTCGCGTGTACGCTCAGATTTGCGAGGGATCAATCGGGAGGGGAGGATTTCCCGCACGACGACGTAAGCGGGAATTGGAAACCGCCGCGCACCGGAATGAGCCGTTGCTTAATTAGCGCGCCTGTACCCATTTGTGCGACGCCGGCAGCTGTTCTTTCGGCGGAGAGAGTTACGATGTTTAAAACCTTTCGAATATCCAACCGGTGAGAAAGGGAAAGGGAAGGAGTTCCGCCGGTTGAAGTTCCGCGTTTGTGATTGAATAATTCATTCTAAAAAATTGGGTCATGGCTCCCAGCCTCGCGATTTAATACAAAAATCCGATATAGAAAAGACCGGGGACCGGAGTGTGCCGATGAAAATCGGTTATTCAATTACGCGAACGCGAAACTCGGCGGAAGACTCGCACGGCCGCGAACTTTAACTTGGATGAAAATAATTGCCGGACGAATGTCCTAAATGAGAAATGAGCTTTCGTGTCGCGGTGTTAACTCCCCCGGATAAAAAGGAAGACGTTCACGTGCTGCGACGAGAATACGGGCCGACATTCCCTCGTAAATCGTGTAAATCAACAGAAGTAATTCCCTCGTAAAGCCTTAAGGAGATCGGCATAAATAAATGTCCACGTAACCCTATAAGGAGGGACGATCCAATTGCGGTGGGTTGACCTGTCTTGTTATTATTTTATACATATATATAGTTGTTAGGGAAAGGTTACAGAGAGCTAACAGATCGGAGGAGGGTAGTACGGCAGTGAAAGAAAATTGCTTCGTGCCGACGCGCTAGACGCGGCGACAGTGATAATGTCGAGTGGGTGTGCCCGACGTTATTTAGTCCATCGTCCAAACGACTCGTCTGACTCACTCACACGGTTTCGATGAAATACTTGATTCACTCCGCAGCCGGAGATAATCGATACGCATGGAAAACCAAAACGCGAACGCGTTCTAAGCGTACGGTTATTCTTTCCGCGTGAATAATACACCGACGGGGAATGGTTCTCCTACAAGTAACAAGTGTGTGGGTGGGTTTAGAACCAGATCAAAAAAGAAACGAGGAAATTCGAAATGAATAATTTCGCTCGAAATTGAGTCGCCGAAATAGCGTTTCGCTGAGTTAATTGTAAAATGAAATGCTCGTTACCGCCAGCACTGGCTCTTACTCGTCTAATTATCCTTCATTTATTCTTTTGACGGTGCATGTGAGAGCCTGTTAATTTGATGTGTTTCGTTGAAACACATTATTTCAAAATCGTACACGTGGAAATCCGCGAGTACGCGTCTTAGTAAACTTTCTCCTCTATTTTGTGTATCGATCACCATGTATTATTTATACACAGTGTAATATATTATACAATGTACAGAAGCGTGCTGACAAATAACGTTCATTTGTATTTTCCAGGAACGTATTACGTCGATCGCGGCGAACGAGCAGATCGGCGATCGTGCCCGGCGTACGTCGAGCGATTGCGATCGGTGAGTAGATACAGTTATTTATGGCCGGACAAACGGAAAAAGCGCGTTGTCGAATCCTTCTCCGTACCGCCAGATCCTTCATTACGCGTAAATCGCCAGGACGAGCGGAAGGAAAGAAAGGGAAAGGGAGGAGACGATTGTCTCAAGGGAAGGAAGGGCCCTGCGAAAGCGCGGAAACGCGGCGCGACTGCCGGAGGTACGCGAAATGCAATAATAAACTCCGGCGCGCAGGAACGACGTTGTTCGCTGTACAAGTGGATATTGTTGCGTTCGCGACATTCTGCACTGCGCGACCCACAAAAGACGAAGTATACCGTGACGCGAAGTATAGCGCGGAAC